CTTTCCCTTCTTTCCCTTCTTTCCCTTCTTTCCCTTCTTTCCCTTCTTTCCCTTCTTTCCCTTCTTTCCCTTCTTTCCCTTCTTTCTCTCTCTCTTTTCTCTCTCTTCTGTTTTCTCTCTCTCTCCTCTTTTTTCTCTCTCTTTTCTTTTCTCTCTCTTTTCTTTTCTCTCTCTTCTCTCTCTTTTCTTTTCTCTCTCTTTTCTTTTCTCTCTCTCTTTTCTTTTCTCTCTCTTTTCTTTTCTCTCTCTCTTTTCTTTTCTCTCTCTCTTTTCTTTCCTCTCTCTCTTTTCTCTCTCTCTTTTCTCTCTCTCTTTTCTCTCTCTCTTTTCTCTCTCTCTTTTCTCTCTCTCTTTTCTCTCTCTCTTTTCTTTTCTCTCTCTTTTCTCTCTCTCTTTTCTCTCTCTCTTTTCTCTCTCTCTTTTCTCTCTTTTCTCTCTCTCTTTTCTCTCTCTTCTCTTTTCTCTCTCTCTTTTCTTTTTCTCCCCCTTTCTCCCGTTTCCCCCCCTTTCCTCCCCTTCCCATCTTTTTTTCCCTTTTTCTCTCTTTCCTTGTTTGCCTTCTTTTCCCCCCCTTATTTTCTCTCTTTTTCCCCCCTTATTTTCTCTCTTTTTTCCCCCCTTGTTTTCTCTCCTTTTTTTTAAGCTTTTGTATTTTCTCCTTTGCACTCTGGGTATAAATTGTTTGGGTGTTCCTTCTCAGTGCCTGACGAAGGACTGTGTGCAGATGGTGCTTTGCTGTGAGGGTTTAGAATGTTTTCTCCTAATTTCTTGCACCAAAAAATGAACTGAATAATGAAGTGAGGTTTTGATTTGTTTTCAGGTTGTCTTGGTGTTCACCTGTACATTTGACATGGGGGGAACTGTTGCCCAGAGAAGCTGTGGCTGCCCCTTCCCTGGAAGTGTCCAAGGCCAGGTTGGACAGGGCTTGGAGCAACCTGGGCTGGTGGAAGCTNCTGCTGCTGCCACCTGAGCACTTACCTGAGCTTCCAACTGTCAGCTGGGCTAATTAGCACTTGGGGTTGGGTGTGAACTGTGATTAGACCTGCCCTGCATTTATGGAGATGAGAGGTGTTAATGTGCTTGAGAGGCTTAACTGAAAATCTTGTCTTAAGGAAGTCTCAGTGTACACATTCCTGGATTTGAAGATAAGGGCTTTCACTGTGTAGATTTGCTGCTATTTGCATTTTTTTTGTGTTTATTTTTTGGTTTTAACCAACTTCTTTTTTTTTTTTAATTGTAAATTCTAATCAGCTGTTGCTATTTAACACTTGACTTAGCATTTGATCCATATTTACATTTGAAGCTCCAGGCTTCAAATATGTTGCAGAGCAGTGGAGGGCAGCCTTAACATGTGGGGAGAAAGCAGCTGGTTTTAGCTTTCTTTTGCAACTTAATATGTTACTTTAGAAAATTCCTTCCTCTTAGCATTAATATTAACTTAGCTGAATATTGCAGTGGTGCCTTGAATTCTCCTGCTGCAAGTTGGAGGCAAGAGGAAAGAAGGAATTAGGAGGATGGAGGCAGGAACACTGAGATCATTGCAGGAATCATCCTGAGTTTCCAGCTGCTGCAGCTCTGGGAAGGATCCTGCCCTTGGGATATAGGCTGACCCTCATTCCTGGGAGCATGGTGGGAATGCAGGTTGGGTTGTGACACAGCAACATAACAGTTAGGGGATGGTTTTCCTTTTCCTTTTCCTGGAAGTGGCATGAGAAGGCTGTTGGCAGTGCTTAGAGTTAGAGCTGGTTGCTGGTTGATCTATTTAACAGGATTTTTGGGTGGAGTTTTTTTGGTAATTTTTAGCCACTTCTGTCTTATTAAAGGAATATAAAAATACTGACAAATAGAAGATCTCAGTCTGTTAGTGAATATGGACTGTCTACAAGAACTGGAGAAGTATTCAGAGGTTTCTCCAGTTCTTGTAAAAAACCACTTTTGCCTGTAACGAGACAGGACTAAGTGGCTTTGCTGCTTAATTCTGTTGTGTGGGTTTAAGTATATTTTTTTCAAATTTCTTTTTTTTAAATGGTTCAATTTGTAAGGGGAGCAGCCTGCTCTCCATCATGGGCTTTCTGTGCCCTAGGACACCCTGGCCTGGCCAGGTGTGCTTGTGCTCTGCAAACAGGGAGCATCAGGGTGTGGGAACACCCACAGCTCTCTCCAGCCCATTTGTGCTGGTTTCTCTGACATTTGGTGTTCCTGTGATTTATGATAATTCAGATGTTGTTTCCAGACAGTGTGACTGTGTTCCAGTTAAATGCTAAGGAATGTTCATGCTCCCATGGAGCTTAGGATCATGGAATGGCCTGGGTTGGAAGGGACCTTCAAGCTTATCTTGTTCCACCCCCTGCCATGGGCAGGGACACTTCCCACTATCCCAGGTTGCTCCAAGCCCTGTCCAACCTGGCCTTGGACACTTCCAGGGATGGGGCAGCCACAGC